TTAAGCCAGAAGTTCTCTGCTAAAGAAATCCTCCCTTCTCTTTACTTTCTTTAACTCAGTGTTCCCCAACTTATTTGTTCTCAGAATCAAATACTGTCTTACAAAGCTAAGATAATAGGATAAAATTCTAAAAACTCATCTTTGGAATCAACCCAGTGAAGTGAAGTTTCTTATTCTCAAACACCTTCACAGCTTAAATCTACAATTCCTACAGATGGAACAGTCTGGATAAAATCATGCTTATGACATAAACTTGAATATCACATTGTACTTGAAAGATAAAAAAGGGTTTTTTCCTTCAAACAATTATTGTACTCAACTTTATTTATTTGTTTTTTGTTTGTTTAAATTTGACCAGAGAGGGACAGAGCAGGAGAGAGAGAGAGAGAGAGAAACAGACAGAGAGGGAAAGTGAGAAAGCAAGCCGTCAGGTCCAGGATTTGAACTGTGGTCGGCCATGTGGAAGCCCAGCACCCTTAACCACCACAGCACCTGCCCCCAAAATAATGTAGTTTTTATTTGTCAGAAATGAAATTCAGGGCATTATGGTTAGGGTGATTAGATCCCACATGGCCAACTGCATTGTTCAAGTCCCAGATTCAGCAGGTGCATGTGTGTGCCTGCCCAAAATTCCAAGAGGAGAATGGAGAAGAGATTGCAGCATGGTCATCTTCCCAGGGGACTGAGGGAATGTACTTTCTCATTTTTCCTCTGTCTCTCTGGCTCTATGGCAAAATTTAAATAAATTAATTAATTCAATTAAAAAGAAGGAAGGGAAGGAAAGAGAGAGGGAGGAAGAAAGGAAAATAAAAAAGAAAAGAGAAAGAAACTCAAGGTATTTTCTATCCTCCAATCACAAATGCTGTCTAGCTTCATTCTGTTGGCTACTGTGGCAGCCATAGAACTCATGTTGTACCCATTCCTTGCTCTGTAAATGTCAGTCTGGCCTTCAGCCAAGACCAACACACCAACACAGGTCTGCCCCAGGTCTACTTAGCACTGTCTGCTCACGTTTCCCAAGGACAGTGCCTGAGGTCTTTCAAGAAAGCTGGTATGTATTTAGTCCAGCTAAGGTAAGAAACTGGATGGCAGGATATTAATCATTGAAAACGGAGGCTACTTTCAGGTATCATCCACTATCGAATCATTTACTGGGTAAATAAACCGATATGAGAGTGAGGTTTGCTGGGATAAGCAGGGTTAGAACCTGGGGTTACTGGGGCAGTGCTAGGTAATGAAAAGTGAGCACCAAAGATAACTGTCACTGTTTGGAGATTCTAATGCGGTATGTCCTCTGGGCCAGGGAACTTCAAGGGGCCGTATGAGGCCATGGACAGGGATCTGATTGACCTCCTAGGCCAGTGATATAGGCCACTTGCATCATATTCATGTAATACGTTCTGAGGCCCAAACTGTAGTAGGATCTGCAACGTCAGAGGTTCTGTCACCGTCCTCATTGAAAGGACTACTGGGTCCCTATTGAAAGGACTCTGAGGAAGGTGCTATGTGCAGAACAGGTGTCTGAATTTTTGTAGTGTCTGTGACTCCAGAGATGGCACACAGAATCCTAGTGCTTGGCTTGGAATCATACTAGGGGAGAATGATCAAAGATTGCAGGGCCCAGCAGAGAAGCTCAACCAAACTAGCTTCCCCTGACCAGATACTGACCAGATCTGGGGACGAGGCACAGCATCTCCTTCCTCCAGGCACCTGTGACAGTCTCTCCTGAGACTCTCAATGGGGTTGATTATCAGAGACCTCCTGCTCACTGAGACTGTTCTCTACTACCCTCTCTAGATTCCATCTACTAAGCCAGCCTTTTTTTCCTGTTGCTTACATGACCTCTAGTGGCTGTAACTGGTAAAACTTGCTCTAAGGTTGGCTTTTGTTTTTCTGAAATAACAAGAAATAAGCAGAAAGCATCTAATGATTAATGGTTGTCCCCTTCTCTCTAGCAGACCTTTGGCCTCTTTAAAACTGTCTCTCAGCGTCATCCCACCGTCTAATTTAGACATAGCCAGCACTGAGCTTGAGTCTCAGACTGATTGTAATCATCTGATGTAACCTGGGCTGGAGTTTAGCATCTGAGCCTCCATGGTCTGAGCCATTTCCAGGTGTCATGACATCCACCTGAACGACATCACAGTGGTGTTTTAAGGATCAAATGACTTGATGACTACGAACGAAATGCCATAGAATGTGCTTGTTATTTCTACAGAGCCACTGGGTCTGTAATTCTGTAGACCTAGAATGTTTTATTTTGTATGCTTTGGTGAAGACATTTAAACTCTTTCCTTGGATTCTGTAGGGGAATTTTGTCCCAATCCATGAGCGTTTACTAAATGGTGATGATGTATCTCTTGTAATGTGGTTATTGACTCAGCAGTTGTGAACTTTATGTACCGCAGTTACTGCTGGGCTCCGGCAGTGAACAGGACAGACAAGGCTCCACTCTAGTCGTGCTGACATTCAAATGGCTCAAAGGGATTCATAGACAGTTGAAATGGCCCCTGTCCTCAGGTGACTTACAGCTTAATTGAAGGGACAGAAGCTTTATTAACCAAATATGATGCAAGTCAGTATGTGAAATGGCTTTCACAGAGTGTAAACAAAGCATTGTGAAGGAGTCTCACTGTGCTGTTTGGGAAGGATGGAAACTAGAAGCAGTGGATAGAGACGATGTTTTCTAGACATGTAATGCTGAGACCATGGCTGGTAGAAGATGACCCGGACACTTGAGAGAATAGTGAGAGTAATCGCCCCAGCAATTTGGTGCCCATTTCTGGTCCTAAAATAGTTGAAAATTGTTTAATAAATGCACATGAAATTGTGCATTCGCACTCAGTAGTCATATTATTATTTGAGACTTCAGTGAAATAGTAGCTAGATTTATCAGATGCTTTCTGCTCCAAAATTAACCTTCTGAATATTACCTTAGCCCTTAGATACCCTTTTATAGACATATACCCATTTTACAGATGAGGAAACAGGTATACAAACAGAAGTAACTTGCCCAAAGTTGGCTGGTTGCTTAGCAGTATATTCAAACCTAAGCAGTTTGGAGAACTTTCATGCTCTTCACCTTGCTATACTGTTTCTCAAACCTTCAATTAAAAAGCCCAATCGGAATTTTTAGAGATACTACATTGCTAAAAATGTAGGGGTGAAACGACCTCAGGTCTGGAATTGCTTTAAAATAATTCAAGTATGAGGAAAGAAAGGGGGAAGGAAGGAGAGAGGAAGGAAGCAAGGAAGGGCCAAGTGTAGTTAAAATCTTAATAAATATGTATGCTGAGTGATGTTTATAATGTTTATAGGAGTCATTATAGTATTCTCTAATTTCCGTAAAAAAAGAAATAGAAACTGTTTCTACAGAATTTAGGATTTTTGAAATATTTATTTTCTTACCGTTAATATCAGAAGACTTTCATTATCTGGGTAATACAGATCAAAGTAATGATTTTGACCAAGTTATTAATGTAACTGTGGCTATGAAATGGAATGCCCTCTTCTGTGTATTAAAAGCTACTTTTCACAATCCTCAAATGTGGTGGCAATATGCTTTTTTTTTTTTAAATCATTAAGGATTATTGTCCTTTTGCCAAATTTATTTGTTAGACTAGCCAAATATTTGAGGTCAAACAACAAAGGTAATTCCTTCCAAAATTCTCATTTATAGCTATAGAAGTTAAAGCGTGGAGAATTTAAGACATCAGCCCCAAATTAAAGTGGGAACATAGTTAACCATATAGCTGGTTATAGAGTAGGAATTTAAAAACCCGGGTTTCCTAAACGCTGGACCTTTCCAGTGATAAGGAGCTCGTGCCCAGTCAAGGGCGACAGAAACCCACGTAGAGACACTGACCTGTGATTCCTGCTACCTCAGGCAGTTGCCCTATTAGAAGTCTGGAATGTCAAAGAAAGAAAGGTGAGTCACCTTCAGCTTGGCAAAAGAAGGGGTCAGAAGGCCCCTTAACTCCCCAAAATGGGGTGATTCCAGTCCAAAAACTTGGAAACCTTGGCAGTGGCCCCAAATGTGTGGAGCGTATTTTCTCCACATCCCTTGTCTACAGACCCTAGCCATGTCACCTATAAGGGACATGGTTGGAAAAACTATGACCGTTGCACCTTCTCAGAGGTGCCTTTGGGGCTGTGGCAATAAAACCCATCTTTGATGGACCAGAAGCCATGGCCAGGCTTTTCCCAAGAGGGATGCAGGAATTTGGTTGGTTTAGTGAAAATGTGTGGAGTGCCCACCCCACCATTTAATGAACTGTTAACCTAATTTCCTCATCTTGAGAATTCTTGGAGGGCATTTCAAGAGCTAAAATCTCACTGTTTCTGAGTCTGGTGTGTGCCTTAGTTGGTGTTAACTCCTTAAGGGCTGGAAATCTCAAACTCAAATGCTCGAAACTACAGCAGGTAAGGTAAATGAATGAAGCTGGCCAATGGGGATGGTGGTGACCGAGGAAGAAGCCTTATTTTCATTGAAAGGTTTTATAATGCCATGCCGTCCATGCAAAAAAGCCTGGGCAGGTCAGCTGACAATTGGCTACCTCTGATATAGAGGTAGAACCTGGTAAGGAAGCCAGGAGGCTGAGTACCATTGCTGACTCCTGGTGACCTCAGCATAGTCTGATTTCCTCATCTATAAGGAGTGTCTCCAAACCTGCAAGGTGCCGCCACCTCTGACAGTCCATCCTGTGACCTGTAATATAATCCGTGCCTTAAAAACAACGGGAGCCAGTGTCTGTCTGTCTGACATGTATTTTCAAACTGCTTGCCAGGCTTGCTTGATCTAACTGACTTTTTAGAGCTGGTGTTCTTGAGGTCCTGTTGGCTATGTTTGCACACTAGCCTCGAGTGCTTTGATCCTTGTAATAAAATGACCTGCACTTAATCATCCTTCTAGTCCACTCACTATGTCAGTTTTCTCTTCTTTCTGAAAGCAGTCATGAGCAGACAAGCTTAGAAAGGGTGTTCTCTTCGTGTTGTTTCAGGGAAAATAGAGAAAGTCAAACCTCCTCCATCCCCTACCACTGAAGGCCCCAGCCTGCAGCCTGACTTAGCCCCCGAAGAGGCTGCCGGAACCCAGCGGCCCAAGAATCTGATGCAGACCCTCATGGAAGACTATGAGACACACAAATCTAAAAGGCGCGAGAGAATGGATGATAGTAGTGTAAGTTTTTCCTCCTTTCCTCTTTTGCTTCTGAAGGCAGCCATCGGCATGGCGCATGGTATTTCTGTTCAGGCATGATATATGTGTAGCCGTTTGGCCAGTATTATGGTTCCAAAATGAGTTTTCCGATGTGTGGTTTAACATGCGTGGAGCTGGGTTTGGGTTTTTGTCTTGTTTCCCCAAAAATGTTAATCATGCAAGAAGCTGGGGGGTTTTCGTTGCCAAGTATAGTGGGAGCCTACTGGCCAGGATGGTGTTTGTGTGTGAAAAGATGACACAGGGAAGAAGGATTAATTAAGTACTCCAAAATCATTCCCACGTACCAACGAGCTATTTTTTGTTTTGTGCTGTTTTAACCATAGCTTTGCCTACTGTGTAAAGATTCTGTTTCTCTAGAGAACTACGAAGATGCTGTTCCTTGCCTACTCTGTAGGCAATCCCAATAAACGTTACACAGTGCTGTTTTGGGTGGTTACCAAGCCGGTGTGCATGGTTTGGCCAGAAAGAGACATTTAAAATGATAGTTAAAAACCACGGCTCGAGCCCAGCAGGTGGTGTTGTGGTTTAAGGCGCTGGACTCCCACATGGCCAACCAGGTTTCAAGTTTCAGACCTAATGGCTTGCTTCTCACTTGCTTTCCTTTTCTCTGTCTGTCTGTCTCTGGTGAGTACATGTGCCCTATAGAAAATTAGAAAATAATAATAATGATAAATAAAATTAAATCCTTTTTAAAAATAAAAATAACAAAAACATAGGGCTACTCTGTTACCCCCAGCTCCCTGAACTTTACATGTGACGTTCACACTAACTGTGAAGGAAGTCATTTGTTCATGTGAGAGACATGCGTTGTTGTTCCCTACAGCCTTCAGCAGTCTAGGGATCAGCTCTGGGGGTTCAAGCCAACCTCCTAGGAGTCTTCCGGTATCAGTCGCTTAGCATTTATGAGCCAGTCGCTCCTTCTCCCCAGCTACAGCTTGGGCTGGTTGAAGATACAACCTAGTTTACCCAGGACAGTCCTGGTGTATTCCCGGTGTCCTGGCATAATTATTAATAGCATCCCCTTTCACTCGTAAAGGTGTCCCAGTTTGGATGATAAGCTATCTGTTCACCTTAAACCTAAATGCTATGAGTTTCACAATTGGAATTCCATGCTGACTTACTGCCCTTCCTATCCTTGCTCACTGAGTGAAAGGATTTGGGAGCGGAAGCTAAACACCGAAAGTTGCTTTCAACATACGCAGTGGTAAAGGAAGAAAGCAAACGCAGTATAGCAGCCCGACTACTCACTTGGATCTCTGAGGCTTTCCTTTGCGTTTCCACCTGAACTGCATGGCACACTGGCTCAGCTACTCTGATAGGCTGGGGCTGCTCGATTGGGCTGTTCTCTGTACCGCACGGTGAGATGGGGCCTGGTCCTCAGTGGCTACTGCAGGCATTTCCACTGCCGGGCTTCGTTGTGAGACTTTCGTAGTTTGTTCCCTGGGTCTATAAGACTTTTACTGCCCAATATGTCACTTTACCCAGCCCTACTTACAGCCCAGTATAAAAGTATGGACTTGGCCTTTGGATATTTTCTGGAGCCTGTGGCCATTTTGCAGTTAAAACTGTACACATCTTGGGCCCAGCAGTTGGTGTAATGGCTATGTTGCTGGACTCCCATGTAGTTGACTGCGGTTCAAGTCCCAGACCCAGTGGCTTAAACTCATGCCGGGTGTATGTGCATGCATGCCCAAGATCCTGAGAAAATGGAGGAGAAGGGGTTGTGGCGTGGCCATCCCCCTGGGAGGTGATTTCTCGCTTTCTGTCTCTCTGTCTCTCCCTGTCTTTCTGGTGAGCGCACGCGCCCCATAGCAAAAACCTCTCCACCCCCCAAAAAACTGTACTTCTTTACTGCTGATGATTTCATGCCATGCCTCAGCAGCTTTGGTGGAAGCTAGCTGAGTGGACTCCTTACAGTGTAGAGTGGATGGGGAAGAGCAGTGACCCCTGCAAGTGTTTGCTAGTAGGCCCACTATGTGCCTCTTATGTATGTCTTTAGAAACGTAGATGTTGTTAGAGAAAAAATACTCTATGCAAAAGGAAATAGGCAGCTCTCAGTTATTTCATAGGCACAGGGGTGACACCCATACTCTGACACTCAGCAAATGCCCATCAGCTTGGAGCTCCGCTTTGTGTTAATGAAGCTACTCGGAACCAGCATTTTAGTATCCTGATTACCCTTCACTTAAGCAGTGAAGAGGTGGCCTCCTGTCTGTATGTCCCCTAAGTAAATAAGCATGTTGGTTAAGGAAGAAACCTTCTAATCTATCAAGCTGTTAATACCCCTAGACCTTGGATTCAAGGCCAAGTGTTTTACAGTTACTGATATTACAATAAAGCCAATTTTGTTGCTGTTGAAAATTCTTAGGAACAAGACAAAATCTGTCTAATCATCATATCCTCTTTTAAGAGACCCAAATCTAAAGCAATAAAAACCAATTCAGATTGTTTCTAAAGCAAATCTGTGATCATCAGCCAGACTTCATTTCACAGCTGCCTGTTACCCTGTCTCCTAGCCCCCTTCTGACTCAGAGGGCCTTGTCTCTTGTGTCTGCGTCAGTCACTGTGACTGTGTTGATGTTTACGTCCTTCGCTTTTCCCTCAGATGATCTGGGGCCTCTTCTCCATTTTCCTTTACTTGTCTCTTCTGACAGAAGGACAGTGACAGATGGATTGCTTGGTGGTTCCGTGCAGTACATACTCCTCACTCAGATGCAGCGGCCCTGCTCTAACTGTGGGTTTCTCTCAATATCTGGAAATGTTATCATAGGTGGAAATGTCCCCTTTCTGAGTCTGATGCCATCTCTGTCACTTTTGCAGGTCATTATGGATGAATGAGTCATAGTTTCCTAAAGGGCTCTTGGTACCCTGCAGAGGGGCTGGCTTGCAGGTGGGGTTGAAGACCTTGGCCACTCATGGATCTAGAAGATGTTTGGACCAGAGGGCACAAATGATGGGCTATTTGCATTTTTTCCTTAGGGATCAAGAAGCCCTTTAGTAAGCTAGGAGTCATTGGTCCATTATGAATTGTATGATCGTACTTAGGCAAATAGTGTTTTTCTGGCCAGTGTTTCCCCCCACCTAACCCAGGTGTCAGAAAGTGAAGACAGTAGGTCACTGAGTCAGCGATGCTCCTGAACCTGTTGGTGGATTTGCTTTCCCTTTCTCAGTCGAAGGGATGCTCACCCGAGTCCAAATCACAGCCTCCCAGACACTTAGCTGTGTCTTCACTTCTAGCACATGATCTACTTGTGGTGAGTTACCTGTGTGCTCTCTCTCTTTCTCTGTCCCTTACCCCAAGACCAAATTACCAAAACAGCTTCCAGCCACTCCTGCCTGTCTTGGAACAAGAGAAGCCTCCGTCAGTTCTGAGCCACGTCAAAGCTGAGACTGGCAGTTACTACTTCTCTAAGAATTTATTTTCCCTCTAGACCAGAATGCCCGCTGAGAGCTGTGGGCCTGCTGTCACTGAGTGGGTGAAAGAAACTCATATGCCTCCAGTGTGTCCCCAACGCCAGGCTCTACAGGAAGCTCAGTCACAATCAGCAGTGATTTTTACTGCCCCAGCCGGCCTAGGGTTCTCACACATATCCTAGGAAGGAGCTAAGGAGACAAGAGCTCCAAACTCTTCAGCTCCCAGTCATTAGCCTGAACATTATAGAACTATATGTGTGTATGTGTGTGTGTGTGTATTTTTGTTTGTTTTAAGAGAGATTTTTGCTGTAGGTCATGTTCACTTGCTGAGAGACAGAGAGACAGAGAGACAGAAAGCGAGAAATCACCCCCCCACACCCCACCCCCACCCCCGGGGAGATGGCCACAATGCAGTGCCTTCTCCTCCATTCTCCTTTTGGGATTTTGGGCAAGCAAGCAAATTTTAAGCCACCAGGTCTGGAACTCAAACCATGGTCAGTTAGGTGGGAGTCCAGTGACGTAACCAGTATCACCAACTGATCCCAATAAAATTATAATTTTTCAAGTGCTACATAAGACATAGGCGAAGATTACAGACACGGATTGCACTTAACCAGTCGATGGCTACCAGGACCCTGAATAATAGGCCTCAAATGGTCTAAATATAAGGTCATTACTGCAGTTGTGAGGGAGCTGTCCTCAGTTGGTCCTGCTATCTTATTTCCTATAGTTGGGCCATTTGTTTTCTGTGCTTTTCTTGCAAGAGTTTTAGTCTTCTATAGGAAAATGACCCTAAGTGCTCATACTGATCTCAAATAATCATTCTCATGATATTGAAGGATCATCCCACTATCAGAAACATATCCAGGCCCCAAGGTTCTGAGGCTGTGTGGACTCTCTAGGTAGTGCCAGCCTAAGGTCAGTTTCAGATAATTTACCTCCACAAACCTTGCATTCAAACCAACTCCTCATTATAACTAGTCTCCTTTCACAACAGGCTGCAAGACTGCCTTGGAGTTCAGAAAATACTACATGAAAAGAAAAAGCTATTTGACTACAGATTCTAGCAAATCTAAAATGGCCGCCAAGAACTTCGTTGGTGGGCCGCTGGTTGTATACAAAGGGGAAGGAAGCTTGTTAATTCAAGCGCAGAAAATAAAAGTAACAGCTTGAATTAACAAAGTATGGCTTATCTGATATTTTTATTATTGAATAGTAGGGTATCTACTTGTTCTAATAGATACAGACTTTTAAATAAACTAATATCAGATGAAGCAAGTCTTAGCACGGATATGTAATAGTCAACCTGCTGTTTCTTCCCCTCCCATCTGCCCCTGGTGTGGTGCCAATTCCCAGCTGGGGGGTGTTCTGTGAGTGTGTCTCTGCTATGTACTAACCTTGGTCTTTTCCCTCCCTGCCAGTACACCTCTAAGTTACTGTCTTGCAAGGTGACTTCCGAGGTATTTTTCAACTTGTTCATCTTGGTCTTGATGCATGCTTGATCCAGGTGCATGCTGTTGTGGTTTGCCATCTCCTGATGGGTTAAATGAGAACAGCAAGGGAAACGACTTGTCTCCATGTATATTTCTTCCTGACTTCTCTGAACTAGGGGACTACATCGAAAAGTTGGAGCCCTCGCTACGATGATACACGATGCCGTGCTTTGCTGCCCTGTGTGGTGGGGCTGGAGAAGACTTCGCCCAGTAGTGGGTCTGGACTAGAGGGTGCAGTGATGGGCTATTTGGGATTTTTAAATTTATTTAGGCATTAATAGCAAATATACCCTGGTCTGGTTAGAAAACAAGGCAGCTCAAGGAGACCGGGCTGTTGGTTCTGGCCAGTCCTTTGCTTACTTTAACACAAATCCAAAGAGCTCCATCACATGGCTTTAGGATTTATTCCTAAAGTGAACAACCCCAGTCCCCTCTCCCTCTAACCTTTATACCTGTATTTTAATTTTGGAAGCTTCTTTAAGCATTGAATTCCCCCAAAAGTCTTCTTTCCTCTACAATTTCTTTTTACAGAGATTTTATGAATACCTGTGCTATGAGAAAACAGTTTTTATTTTTTTTAAGTTTTAAAAATTACTAGAATGCGTGTGCACGTGCAAGACAGAAAGAGAGAAAGAGAGGGAGAAAATGCCTCCCATGAGGCATGGTCATGCCACAATCCCTTCTCCTCTATTTCTCTGTCCTGTTGGGGTTTGGGCACACACGCACACATGTCCAGTGTGTTTTTCAAGCTGCAAGGGTGAGATTTAAACTGAGAGGTTGGCTGTGTGGAATCCAGTTCCCTTATTCACTAGGCCACAGAACCAACCTACATTTTTCTTTTGTTTTCTTTTTTCTTTGTCCTAGGGTGCATGTGCTTGCCAGAGAGAGAGAGAGAGAGAGAGAAAGATAGTGAGAGGGAAAGTGAGAAATCACTCCCCAGGGGGATGACCATACTGCAGTCCCTTCTCCTCCATTCTCCTCCCAAGATCTTGGGCACATATGCATATGTACCTAGTGTGATTTTCAAGCCACCAGGTCTGGGACGCAAACCATGGTCAGCCCTGTGGGGATCTATTACTCCGTTTTCTGGCCCCCCATTTTTCTTCTTTTATTTTACTTTTTTTTTTAGATTTTAATATATTTTTTTACTTTAAAATTATTTTAAATATACAGAATTGTAGAGAGATCATTTATTCATTAATTCAGTGAACAATTTATTAAGGCTTTACTATACACCAGGTACTGTTCTGGGTTCCAAAAGTTCAGCAGACAACAAAGCAAGGTTCCTGACAGCATGGGGCTGACATTTGAAGTTTCCAATAACGTGACATAATAAAATAACAAAACACACCTATCCAGCTTTGTCTCTTCTTATTATTTCATAATATTTGCTTAATATTTTTAAGAGAAGTGAATAATGCAAATATAATCCAAGCCCTCCTGTTACTTCTCCCAGTTCTTTCTCTGTTTCGCTTTCTCTCTTTTCTGAGAGGTAACTGTTCTTGAGCTTAGTGTTAATCATCGCCATGCATGTTTTTGTACTTCCACAAGTTCATGGAAGTAGGGAATTAAATACAAAATTTATTATGGTGCAAAAATTTTTTTTTGAAATCCATGCTTTTTTTTTTTTTTAATCGTGTAAAAAAAAAAAAAAAAAAAAAAAACTTTTTCCCATGAACTTCTTGAAGACTCTTTGTACTATGGATATATCCATAAGCCATGTCTTATAGTTTTGCATGTTTTCCACTTTTTTAATACATAAAATTATATTGTGGTACCTTCAGCTTCTTTCTTTATTCTGTCTGCATTATTTTTAGATATGGCCATGTTGAAATTTGTGGCTCTGGTGCATTCATTATCATTGCTGTATAGTATTCCATCGAATGAATGTATCACTATTTATTCCTTTTCCTGTTGATGGAAATGTAGTTTGTTTCCAGGTTTTTTACCATTACAAACAGTTCTGCAATGAACACTATTGTATGTATCTCTTTGTATACCTATGAAAAAATTTATATGTGTCTATTTACATATAAATAGACACATATAAATATACACATGCATATAAAATCTAGGAGCAGAAGCACTGGGTATTGAGCTTATGTATCCTCAGATTCACTAGATATTGCAAATTATTCTTCAAATTGGTTGTACTAACATGTAGTATATTTTTATAGTCTCCATTTTTAGGGAAATTATTATATATTGGGTCATCAAGAAAGTCATGATATATTTTCTATGTTTTTCTACGCAAAAATGCATCATGACTTTTCCAGTAGCTTAATATAAATGTAGATCTGAGCTGTTAATTATCATACTTTTTTCAAAAATATAAAGTGAATATTGAGACAATCATTACATATACCTTCCTAAATGTCTAATTGTATTTCTTATCTAGGGGAAGGCAGTTTGAGAACTAGGCCCTAAGCCCAACATTCCCTTTGAATCAACATAGTTTAGAACAATCCAAATCTGGTCAGATATATCCAAGAAAGATGGAACTGGGTCCAGTCCATATTCACATGAAAACAAGCTAGGAGGGATAAAATATCGAAATTAATATAAGTAGTATAACATATTATTTAACTTATTTGTCTTTTATTTCACATCCACAAAATAAAATGGCCTGTGTTGACTGCTATTTAAAGTTAAGTAATTTGTTTGAATTCTCTAAAGCGTTAGAGAGAAAAAAAAATTGTTATTAGAGGTTTGTTCAAAGAGACTTGAATTCCCACATCTCCTACCCTCCAGACCTGAATTGGAATTAGTTTGTGAAAACAATAAAACTTGAAATCAGGTCATGCTGCTATATTTTACTTTTTATGTTTCCCCTCTTCATTTCCACGGAGAGTGTTTATTGCTCTTCGCTGATGCGTCTCCCTAGACTTCTTACAGCCAGTGAGCAGCCATGTAGCTTGGTGGCCCTGGGTACCCGCTTTGTGCTCAGAGTCCTGGACACAAATACGGCTTTCTCTTCCACTAACTGGGTGATGCTGGGCAGGCTACGGTTTTCTCAGGTATAAGATGAGAGTGACAATAACGTGAGTCTCTGTAGATTAGTGGCAAGGAATACAGCAGTAACTGGTTCATAATTCTGGTGACTTAGTGTGTTCTACCATTATAGCCCTAGAGGTAAGTGCTTTTTGGTCTAGGAAAAAAAGAAAAAGAAAAAGAACGAACTTTAGAAAGTAAAGTTAATATGCAGTAATGACAATAATAAAAGCTGTAAATTTGCTAGAGATTTATAAACACACACACACACACAACCCACACATACATACACATACACACGGAACTATTGGGTTATTAGAAAAGTCATGACACATTTTTGCACAGAAAAAAACACATCATGACTTTTCCAACAAATGAATCACTATGGGACAGATGCTCATTCAGCTACCTGCCCTGAGGTCTTGGCTCTAGAGTCTTCCAAAGGCCAAGTGTAGAATAGCTTCACTCGAAGACAGTGCTGGCCAAATGCCTTCTGGGCGCAAAGACAACTTTAGAGCAGAGTAGTCAGCTATTTCAATAACATTTTTTTTTTTTACTTGGTTATGCTATCGTTGGAGACTTTCGATTTCATCAGAAATTCAGGATCATGTTAGGTGGCCATAAAAATTAGCAGAATGAACTAAGAAAGGTTATTATTGGTATAAGCTAATTATTTGGGCTTTGACAGGCAAATGTTCAAACCTAGTGTATGCTAAATGTTTCCATAATTATAAATATTATTTTCTGCCCATTGCACTTTTTGATACTAACAGGAAACTGTATCCAACACTTAGTAGGAACTGAATAAATATTTGGAAGATGGTTGGATACATGGATTGTAACTCGTGTTCCTGGAGAATAGAGCAAGCTAAATCTGCTCAGCTTGACTGAGAATTAAAATAAAGTTTAAACAAGAAGAAAAGAATGTTCAAAAAGGATGGAGACCTTTTTGGCTTTTTCTCAGAAACTTAGAATTTTTTTTTAGTTTTTCTTTAAACCTTTTGGTTAATACCTGCAAACTGCTAGTAAATAGATGCCCATTTTACACAATTTAGTGCTCCTTATAAAAATGCTTTATATTCTTACACCTCTTCATAGTTGTAAATCCGTTTCACATCATGATAGAAATAACTCTTGTTTGAGAACGTAGTATGCTCCGGAACTGGGTTAACTGCCTTACATATACTGCCATGTTTATTTCTTGGGTCAGCCTGTTGCCATGGCTTTATTAACTCCAGTTTACATGGAGTTGCTGAAGCACCTTAGCAAGGTCTCACCGTTGTTGGAGTTAAGCCTGACCTGTCTAGACTTCAGAGAATGCACTCCCTCCTGAGAAAGCCTTTGAAATAGCATGGGTGCAATCTCTCTTTATGTTACACATAAAGAAATGTGAGATACAAGATGAACAAGGGACAGAACCAGAAATAGAGTTCAGAACCCCTAAGTCCAGTCCAGCACTGTTTGCCAGTCCTGTGCTATCACACTTTGACCAGGAAAATCCTCTCTTCAATTCTATCAGATTTGGAAGCATCCTTTTGTCCTACTAATGTGTTATTCTTAGACACTAAATGCTCATGATATGCTTAAACACAAGACACTTTATGACATGGCTTGTGTGCTTCACAATGCACTGTGCATTCAACAAACATGACTGAGTGCATCCTACAGGTCAGGTCCTGCTCTTCCTGCTGGGAATTGTGGGGAAGCTTCTAAGAGGAAAGCACACTGAATCTCTGGGTGGTCCACTCATTTGACAGAGGTGCAGAGAGCAAGTTGAGATGGACCCTAGACCTTTAATCTCCCCAGAGTCTGCTTATGCCTAGGCTCCCACCTCTGCCTACAACCTGCATCTCCTTGCTTCTCTGGAGTTACCAATCTCACTCCCTGCCTACAGGGTTATTTTTAGAATAAGCAAAAGCTTCGTTGCCATTTGGATACTTAACCAATGTTGGCTCTACTGGATTTTTCTTTAATCTCAGACGCTCTATACCCTAAGCTGATACTAGAGTAAAATGGTTGACATGCATGGGCTTGCTTTTGCTGCAGTGTCATGGCATAGGACCATTTCTTATATGTCGGTGACCTAAATGTCATTCACCTGGAATCTCATCTTGATCAAGCTAAACCTGGAGCAGATTGGCTGACATCTCCTCTAAGGAGTCCATACACTGTTCTAGTGAACCCTACGAAGGGAGGCTCTACCCGGACCATGGCGAGCCTACTTGTCCTTGATATTTTCACCCTTCATTTTGTATGTTGGGACAATAAGATGGCCCTGAATTGGCACTTGCCTTTTATTGGCCTGAGAAGTTTTTCTTTTCCCCACTTAATGGCTCTTCTAGTTTAGTTATACCAAAGTAGATGACTGTGATGTAAATATGATCACAGCGTATGTAGGTCCAATAGTGGTCCAGTTGTTTGCGATTCTTTTCTGGTCTGTTTACAAGAACTAACACAACCTAGAGCCATGCTGATCAATAGGGTAGCCTCTAGCCACAGTGGGGCTATTTAAATTCACATTGGTTAAAGGATATTTAGTATCCCAGCCAGCCACACTAGCCACACTTCAAGTCTCAATAGCCACATGTGGCTCGCGACTGCCGTGTTGGAAGGCATGTACAGAACAATTTCATCCCTGCATACCCACCCATGGCATGGCACTGATCTATAGCGGCTGCTTGATGCAGAGTCAAGTCTACTTCCAAGAAACTTGCAGAGCATTTCTTGAAAATGAAATCTCTCTATTTTGAAAAGTAGGGATCAAATAGCAAATGAATTCTGGCTATGAGATGAATGCATACCCAATACCTCTCCTCCCTTTTTTTCCCCAACGTCTCTCCTACCCACCCCCAGGAGTATCAGGTTTTCTATTACTCTTCCCTCTCCTGTAGATACTGTTAAGAGAGGGAAGGGAGGAAGCAGAGAAGTTGGTTTGTGTATGTAACTAACATCCATAAACACTGCCTAATTGTTTTCCCTCTCTCTTCAGGTCCTTGAGGCCACACGGGTTAATCGAAGAAAGAGCGCTCTGGCCTTGCGCTGGGAAGCAGGTATCTATGCCAACCAGGAGGAGGAGGACAACGAATAAACTTCCTCTTATCCAGGAAGCTTCTTTGGTGCTTGGGATACCAAGAAACCAAGAAAGTAACAATTCAAAGCATTTTAATGGACTATTTATTCAAGTGCAAACGAACTCAGCAATCCTTATGTAGACCAGAAGCTGCAATGCACAGTGATGAAAAATAAAGTGAACAGGCCACCCATCAAAATGAAGTCAGACACCCAGGAGTCAAAAGACAAAGGATTTTTTTGTGTGACTCAACACATCTTAAAGTCTATATATGGACCAATCCACAAGTGATCCCAAAGGACATAGGCATTAAAAGCTAATCAGCATTATTGTCACAGGCAGAACTGAGATCAGCCTCCCTGGCTGATGAGGAAGGACACTGGTGACAGGGCCACGTAGGAAGCAGTAGGGCCCAGGCTGAGGCACACCTTTCTCACCCATCGTTCGCAGCTCAGAGGTGTGCAGCTAACTCCATTTTCTTCCGTCGCCATGACATGAGTGGTGTGTCTCCATAATTGCCCAGAAGAGGCTATTAGGATTCCATTTCTCTTATTACATTGAACTGTTTTTAATTGGAAACAATGAATGATTTCAATACATAAAATCCATATTTTTAAGACAGTATTTCTTCATGTTGCAGACACAATCTATTCTACATTAAGGGGCCGAGAAAGGGGGAGAAAGCCAAACCAAATGGATTATTTTAGCTTTAGAATCTTGTCTGCTTATACTATTGACTGACGTGCAGTTTACGAGAATACATTTTCAGTTATGTTTCTTCATATGAAAACTATATTTAGTGGGCAACAACTATTTTTATGATGGGGTAGGGGAATATATACATGTATAAAATCTGTGCACATTGAACATCCTGGTTCAAGATGGTAGGGATATTTTTAGAGTGGCAATAATTGAAAAAAAAAAAAGGCGAATTCTGCCTTGCAGAGGTAGATGACGAGAAATAAAAAGGTGTTTATAACTATTTTGTATTATAAAGTGGGGCTTAGAAGTAGTAGGAAGTGATGGATTGCTTTTGGCTCAATTAGAAAGGAAACATTAAAATAAAGTCATGAAGGTAAAGAGAGAAACAGGGAGGGTGGGGAAAAGAATGGGGAAAAAGGAAGAGAGAACTATTTTTGCTGAGCAACCAGTGTTTTTCAGGATGATAGAAAAATAGAGAGTAGGAATTTAAGTGCAGGCTTGGAATCAGCTACAAATCCTAAAGATGGAGTGTGTGTGTGTGTGTGTGTGTGTGTGTGTGTGTGTATTACACCTTTTCGTGTGTAAAGTGTGTATGTTCATGAGTGAAGGGGTGTGTGCGTGAGAGGATTAAAACTCCAGAATGATCATGGCACATGGGTGTACAGTTATTTCCTCCAGAGCTGTTTGCCAGCTGCAGGAGTGAGTGAGAATTTCTTTTTTATGAAAAGGGATATAAAAGGCGCTGAACTGATGCAGTATTTGTAATATTAAACTGACCCAACGTGGTATTCGCACGAGTCAAATGGCAACGTTTTGAGCAGTTTTGTAATGGCATTTAGGAAAGGATCCTATTTATTCTCATGCTTTGTATTCATGCCTAGTGTGTGATAGAGGATGCCAGCTTTACACGTTCTGTCATTTAAAGCAATATGATAAGGGTATTCAATAATTGGGTGCCCTAAATTTCTGGATGAGAAAAACTTTCAATTCTGGCCATGAGGGAAAAACAAAAACCAACAAAAACGGACCAGCCTTCTTTATTTTTTCTTCGTTTTACAACTGTGGTTTTTAAAAAAGCAATAATTAAGTCAGACCTCACTACAACATATATATTTTTTTCATATTGTTATGTCATAACTCTAGTATGTTCTAACAAGTAGCAGTTTCACAAAATTTGTACGTAGATGGTATACACATCATCTTTGCTTCTTTTATTAGACTAGTGTTGACTTTGAGGGGAACGTTTATTCACAGACAAAGTGGTGGGCACAACAATAAAAACGAAACTGTCTAATCACTTACAAGGATCCTTTAAAACTGCCCAGGGAACCTGTCATTGGAAGCCAGCTTTTACAGATGGAAGCCGAAATAGCACAGGGGCAGGTGGCGCCATCTTTGTATGGTTCATTCTCCTGAATATTCTGAATGAATATTCCGTAAAACGTCCTGGCCTTTGAGGACACAAAACAAATAAGATCCTTGCTACTAGGAATTCATTTCGCGGTGGGGGAGGCTGGCATGGAGACAGACATTCCCAGGAAAACGAGACCTGTGTTAGATTAGAAGTACCGACAGGGGAAATGAGAGAGTCCAAGGAGGGGGAACCGGCTTTCCCTGAGGGCTTCTAGCTGAGGTCCCAGATGCCTGAGCTGAGGATCCAACATGAGGGGCCATTCCCAAGATCGGCACACTGATGAGAGCAGAGAAGGCAGCAGCATTGCGTGGCCCCAGGCGTGGCAGCTGTCAGGAAGGCCAGAGTAGGCTAGTCCTACGGCTTGCACAAGAAATAGCTTGGGCATCCTGACCGTAGCCCTGATGTAGACGACCTCCCCCGTGTTCACGAGAGGGAACCATCCTCACGACCTGAGTGTTGTGTTCTGCTTTGAAGGAAACCGTGTATCCTCGTGCAGCCTGCATTGGAAAGGGAACTTGCAGCTGAAGGGAAGGTTTAGGAGGCCGCACAATTCATGGAGTCGCCTTAGAGGCACACGAAGTGGCCTTGGACTGCAGCGAATGAACCAAACGTTCAGCGCTCAGGGAGAAGCGCAGTGTTAAAGAGCTGGGGTCCTTGGGGCCACGCTCCATGGGCGGATGAGGAAACAAAGCCCCGTTTCTGTGACTCTTCCACAGTCACAAGGCCGTTGAGCCGTGGCCCTTTCGGTTCCGACTTCCGCTCCTTCCTCGGTTGCCTTCTGCATGCCTGCTGTTGATTTCCTTGTTCCACTCGCTGATGATCTAGTATAATCCTATTAAAATGTCAAGTGCAGTTCCCTTGGGAGAGCCGGATTTTCCCTGTGCTCTTACGTTTTTTACTCATTCAGGAGACATCGGGCTACCACGTCGTACAGAGAGCCCTGTGCCAGGCTCCGGGGTCCCAGATGAAGCCCTTTAACTTTCTGAAAGTGGAATGGAACCCCCACCCCCAGAGGAAAATCATTCCCGCCTCCTCCATCAGAGTAAGAGAAAGAGGCTTATGAAGAATTTCGCCTCTGATGCTCAGCCCCACCCCCAAAGAGCACACAAGCGTGTTCATCTCAACTACAAGAAATGTTCAGATTCTGTAGATGTTGAAAAGCCTCCCTGAAAGGATTCCGTTCCGCAGTGTTGTTGTAGGCATTCGCTTTCCTCCGGAGCTGATTACCTCCTGACATGCCTTGGGTTTCTCATCCAGAAATTATGGAAACAGGGTCTGTCAGTGGCAGGAGGCCGGGCTGTGTTTCACTCGGATGACACAATGCAATTGACTTGTCTCTGTCCCTATGCATGCCGCCCGCCCCACGCAGTGACATATAAGCAGTATATAGATCAGTGTCCACATGTATACACACATATATATAAAGCATAAAAAGGAACACACACAGTGTTGACTCCTTGTCTCTGAAGACAAACACTTTTTTTCCAACTAAAGAATGGATTTAATTAAATGTATTGAAAAAAAAAAATAGCCTAAGTGTTAGAGATGGTGTCTATTTCCAGTTTTAGTTACAGAACCAATTCCCTGGATTTTAAGCATTCAGTGAGCTGCCAATGTTTATTTTGTGTTGCTCTTTACCCAAATGACCTTTTCGTTATTTCTTTTTGGGGGGAGGAGGGAATAAAGCAGCAATACTGTGTTTGGAAATTATACTCTGTATCCGGCTTTCCTGTGTATGTTAACCACTTAAACGTTATTATACCGCTTTGGTTTTATAGTGATTGTGAGGCATTCAATGCAAGTATACAGTTATTTTCTCATTAAAACTCGGTGTGTGTTGCATTTTTATAAACAACGGCCACTTGTTCATGGGAGAGGACTGACCAGCCAAGCAGCGGCATGCCAGAGTCCTTGACTTCTCACTGCAATGTGGCAGCATCTGCATTTTCCCACTAGGACAAAGAAAGTGAGCTTCGTCGACAGAGCTCCTGCACCAGGCTGTCCCCAGTGCTCCTCTTCCAGTGTGGTTGCCAACTGCCTGGCCAGATCCCAGGGAAATGATACAGGTGTGTCTCCTGATCACGTAGGTAAGACTCCAGAGTCAAAGTGATAGTTGGACAGACTCTAATCCCTAAACTGTGTGTGTAGCTCTTTAACTCTGTTTTTTTTTTTTTTTTTTTCCCTTT